TGGTATAGAGATTGCTCTCTTGTTACCCTCCTGCTCTTCTCTCTCTGCCATCTTTCTCTCACCCCCGTCTTCCCTCACCAAGCCTAGCCCATCCAGCTGGCCTCGGGTTCTTTCTTTGCCTACTATGGATGTTTCCAGATAGCAGTGTTGCTTCTTTACTGCCTCCTCTCTTCCAGTTCTTCTCACAATTACCAGCTCATTCCAGCCCACGTCCTAGACTGCCACATCCAAAATTACAGCTTCTGGTACTCTCTTATTCCTTTATACCATTGCATGTTTTATATTGGCCTACTTAAAAAAAAAGAAATCTGCTTTCCTCTCTTTTTATTTGGCAGTACTAGGGATTGAACTCAGGACCTCACATTTTCAAGGAAGGTATTCTACCACTTGAGCCACACCTCTAGCCCCTTCGGTTGGTTATTTTTAAGGTAGGGTCTTGGCTTTTGTGCCCTGGTCAGCTTGGGCTAGTCAGCTTTGTGCTTCCATGTTGCTGGGGAAGATGGGTACACTTCCACCCCTGTGTCTGGCCCTTGTGTTCCCCCTGTCCATAAGATGACAGGCAGGCAGCATAGCACCCAGCCATTGATTGAGATGAAATCTCAAGAACTTGTATGCCCAGGCTGGCTGTGAACTTTAATCCTCTATTTCCACCATTCTCCCAAGTAGCCGGGATTACAGGCATAAGCTACCACTCCCAGAGGTGGCTCCCTCTTTTGAATCTAAACTCCATGAGGGCAGAGATTTGATCCCTTTTGCTTACTTACTGCGATTCATAAAATATACTTCTCAGGGCATCCACAACACAGCCCCCATATGTAGGATGAGGTGACCATGACCACCTCTGTGTCCTTGAGGTTCCCCCTGCTTTGGGATGGGGCGGGGATTGTGGGTGTAAATTCTGCTACTAGGTCCTCACACACCCAGGCCTGCTTTTCCCACCTCCTCCATTGATGCTTTATGAATGTATTAGGGGCTGAATGATGTCACCGTAATGCATTTTGGGAATAGCCATGTGGTCCGTACACACTCGAGTTGCTTTGAATGCAAGCCTGACCTCATACTGAAGGCAGCAGCAAACAACACACGCACAGTAAACAGGCAGAGACTGTCTTATTGATTAACAGATGAGGCCTCTATTATCGATCAAAGCTGGGCGAGGAAATTTATCACTTTTAATTTCAGGGCTGCCAAATATTTCTGCCTCTGAGCCAGCCATTGCAGAGACGATTTAAAGGTGCAGCCTCCTAGGGAGAGCAGGTGTCTGGTGTGTACTGGGTTTGGTTCTTATTTTTTTAAGCCTGGTTTTGCTTTTTGGGGTCACCCTGGAGAATTTGGAGAACCAAAGTCTGTCCTGGCAGGGATGGGAGGAGACGAGGCCAGCAGCGGGAGCTTATATCTGTGTTATCTGTGTGCAGTGAAGAAGCTGACTCAAAGTCCTTGAAGACAGGGACGTTCACACACTGAGCTCAGTTTCGTGACTTCAGCCAGTGGGGTGGAGTAAAGAAGGACGTTGAAAGCAAGCAGATGCGGTCAGGCTTGGGTCGAGCCAGCAGCCTTCACCAGATCATGTGTGCTTATGTGTTTTTTATCTTCCTCTGAACTCTGATGGTAGATAGGCCTCCTTCCTTTCCAACCTCCCTCCTTCCTTTCTCTCTGCTGCTCAGTCGTTAAAGTGAGATGCTACTACAGCCCACATCCATGGCTGTTTCTGAGAACCCATCCACACCACACCTCTTTGAAGCCCCACACACCACTTCACTCAAGCGTAGGGCTCCAAGCGAGATGGCCAACGTCTCGAGGCATCCATTTCCCCTACTCTCCACCCTCAGTCTTCTGGAGAGAGCCGTGAGAAACAGATAGAAGCAACGGGATTGCAATTAGAATCGGATCCCTTACAGATCCACAGAAAATCATTGATGGCTTAATGATTTGGGACTAGGGGGAGTTGCTCATTGCCAGGGAGCCTTGGCTTTATCTAGCCCCGACGTCCCCACCCTGGCTTGCTCTGCTCTTTGAGAGACTTTCTGCATTTCCCGTGTGAATGGATGAAAGTGCTTCTAGCCGTCGCTTCTGTGAGCACGCAGAGAAGCTTTGCTATCCTCCCTGATAGAAATGTTCAAAGCCATAGACCAGGTGTTTGGACTGAGGATGTTCTACAGGTTGAAGGACATCTAGAGGTCAGCACAGGATTCTCCCTGCCTCCAAGAGAAACCCAACTCCAGCCATCTCAGGCAAATGACAATAGTGTGTGTGTGTGTGTGTGTGTGTGTGTGTGTGTGTGTGTGTGTGTGTGTGTGTGTGTGTGTGTGTGTGTGTTTAAAGCTCCATTCTTGTTTTTTTTTAAAAAAAAAAAAAACTTCTTAAAGAGCTGGAGGTTACTTTGGTCAGTAAAACTGGCACTTCAGATATAAAAAAAACCTTCTTAAGTAGTTGTGCAAAGAGATTTTAATTCAACACATCAGGTTATAAGTATAATGTGTCTTGATTAACATTAACAATCTTTTCCATTGTCCTCATCCTCTTCTATCCCAGATCTATCCCACCAATACCCTCAGTTACCTTCTTCCATTTCCACATATGTACATTGGATAATATGAATGAATTTATCTACCTTTCCTCTCTCCATTTCTCTATCCCCATCCCCTTGACTTTATTTATTTATTTATGTATTTATTTATTTATTGTGGGCCAAGAGGCATGAACTCAGAGCCTACGTGCTGTCCCTGAGCTTTTTTGCTTTCCCATTTTGAGCCACAGCTCCACTTCCAGTTTCCAGGTGTTTAATTGGGGATACGTGTCTCATAGACTTTCTTGCCCAAGCTGGCTTCCAACTGCAATTCTCAGATCTCAGTCTTCTGAGTAGGATTATAGGCATAAGCCTATAAATTCATGTTGCCCTGGGGTGTTGAATCTCTGCTCTATTTAATCAATCCTTGTGTATTGAACACCTAATAGAGTACACCTTTAATATTTGGAATATAGGGATCATACTCTATAGGGTCCTATAGTCTTCACTGGAACAACTATTCCTTAGTGTTTAAATCTGGGGCTAGTACCAGGGCTTGAACTCAGGGCTTTGTACTCTTGCTTGGCTTTTTTTTTTCTTCTTTTGTTTTCAGGATTCTTTTTTTTAATTTTTAGTTTTTTTATTGTGAAAATACTGTACAGAGGGGTTACAATTACATGGGCAAGATAATGAGTATATTTCATATCAAGCATTGTAGCCTCCTCCTTTGTTTCTCTTGTTTGGCTTTTTTTTGCTGAAGGTTGGTGCTCTACCCCTTGAACATATCCCCTTACAGATTTTTTTGATGGATAATTGGAGATAAGAGTCTCTCAGATTTATCTATCAGAACTGGCTTTGAACTTCTCAGATCTCAGCCTCCTGAATAGTTAAGATTAAAGGTATGAGCCACCAGCACCAGGTACTTAAATATAAGCTAATCCTCCAAGGCTTTACTGGGATTTGACTTAAGGGCTTCATGCTTGCTAGGAAAGCAGGATCTCTACCACTTGAGCTATCTCCCCAAGACTTTCTGTTTTAGCTTTTTTTTTTTGTATCAGTCATGGTTTTTATGTTTTTTTTATTGTAAAAATAGTGTACAGAGGTGTTACAGTTACATGAGTAAGGTAATGAGTACATTTCCTATGGAACATTATTACCTCCTCCTTTGTTTTTACCCTCCTACCCCTTCCCTCCCCAACTCCTGCCTTCCTACCCCCATTGTAACAATGAGATATACAAGATGCTATGTTGAAAATGAACCCAATCTCATGTTTTATTCCTGGATAGTGGTCTTCTTATTCACGCCTCTCCACGTAGCTGGTATGGCAGGCATGAGCCACTGTGCCTGGCTTAACTTCTTCTTTGAAGGGAACAGAGTTGGTAGGCAGAGTCTTGCTATGTAGCCTTATCTGGTCTTGAACTCGAGATCCTCCTGCCTCAGTCTCCCCTACTGGTATTATAAGCATGCATTCCAACACCAGGTCTTACACTTTTTAAAAGGTAGTAGAACCATTTTTTTCCAAATGCAATCTTCTGAAAAGACCTGATGTATAAAATGAATCAATGAGGCTTGCAATTATTTTTGTTTCTGAGTTCAGAAACTTACCTCCTTTTAATATATATACTTTTCTTGTTATTAATTATTAGGGTAATGTACAGAGGAGTTACAATTCCATAATCAGGTAATAAGTACAGTTCTTTTTGGACAGTGTCACCCCTTCCTTCACTTTCCCTCAGTTTTCCCCTCTTGTCCCTGCCTGCGTGTTGTATAGTTCATTTTTACGTAGTATATATTGAATACCATGACTGAATTTGTTCACCCTTCCCTCCCTCCACTTCTATGTCCTGTTCTGCCCCCCCCAAAAAAGAAAAATATAAAAACACCACCACCACTAACAACAACAAAAAATCATTTTCCCATTTCCTGGAGTTCATTTTGACAAATGGTATTGTAGATGTTCAGAGAAATTACACTTTGGGGCTCTTCCCGGAAGAGTATCCTCCTTTAGTATGACTGTGGATGAATGCCTAGAGTCCTGTTATCGTTGCTATCTAGTTATATTTTAGATCCGTTTCCATGTATAAGAGAAAGCATGCACTGTTTGTCTCTGAGCAGAGGTCACCTCTTATCCAGAAAGGATTTTTAGAGAAGGATCCCTGAGGAGGCTTTCAAAAGTGAAGTTAGGCTACTAAGGTTCAAATCCACCTCTACTGTTACCCACAGTGTGACATTAGACAGACTACTTAACTTCTCTTAAGTTTGCCTTTACTCGTGTGCTAAATAGGGTATAATAGTATGTACTTCAAAAGGTTGCTGTTAGAGGAGTTAAAGGAAATGATATATATTAAGTGCTTAGCATCATGCCTGGTATATGGTAAGGTCTTGGGAATCTGAGGTGGTTTGAAAACAACACAAGGTGTTATAATAGCTCTACAAGGTGCTAATGTATAATTCAACATGCAGAAGCACTCAACTGCCTCTCCTTTCTTCCAGCGGGTGCCAAAGCCTTTGTCTGTGACCAATGCGGCGCACAGTTCTCCAAGGAGGACGCCCTGGAGACACACAGGCAGACCCACACTGGTAAGTTGCCTTTGATTCCCAACCTCTAGGATTCTCGAAGTTTCCCAGCATCCTAGTGCATGGGTCTGAAGTGTGCTGGTGGCATTATCTTCTTTAACAACACAAGGTCCAGTTATTCTTAGGGGTCATTGTGAGTGGGGCTGAGCTTTTGGTGCCCATGGTAACTCTTGCCTGTGGGGCAGGGCATGAATTTATAGGTGTGATGGGAATTTATAGGTGGGAGCAGCTATCCTGGAGGAGGCCAAGATTCTATCTGAAGCCCTGTCTTCAGGAGACATCTTCAATGCTCTTGCTGAGGCCTTAGAAGCCTGTGGTGTTAGCTAAGATTCCCCTTCCTTAAGGAAATGATGAGACCTTTTGTACCCTTCCAATGAAACTCTTGAGTCTTCATAGAGCCACAGTGGGCTGGTTTGAGGATAGAACCATCATCTAAAAGATGGCACTCATCACTTCACATCTGTTAATCCTAGCTACTTAGGAGACTGAGCTCTGAAGATCAAGATTGGATGCTAGCCTGGGTAGGAAAGTCTTGGAGACTCTTAACCTCTGATTAACCAGTAAGTGGAGCTGTGGCTCAAGTGGTAGAGCACCAGCCTTGAGCAAAAAGCTAAGGGTCAGTGCCCAGGCCCTGAGTTCAAGTCCCAGTATGGCTCAGAATAAACACACAAACAAATAAATAATGAGTAAGATATCATTTGACTTGATTTCAAAGCGTTGATTTTGCAGTCTCATCGTGATTGATATCACCCTGCCACCATTGCTTACCTGATGGAAGGCTTACCATGTGCCAGGCACTGTTTTTACTTGCCCAGTCTTCCAGAAACCCTGTGAGGTGAAGGCTACTTCCACGACTCAGATGAGAAACCGGGGCTCCAAGAAGGGAAAGGGATATGCTGACTTCCACCGGGGGGACAAACAGGTGCTGTAGAGCCCTTAGTTCAGAGATTGCTGCCTGCATTTAATCCTGACTCTGCCACTTCCTGTTCGTAGAACCACAGGTCAATTTCCCGAACTGTCTTCATTTGGGTTCCCTCATCTGTTAGAAAAGCACAGTCATTTGTATCTATCACATAGCAGAGGGTTGTTATGGGGATTAAAGGTAATGTTTTATTTGAAGTGATTCTCTGTATGAGTCACAGGAAGCATTCAACAAATAGTAGTAGATGAGTTTAGTTTGATAAATGTGTATTGGGTTTCTCCAGTGTGCCTGTTTAGACATCGGAGATAGAGTCACATAAAAGACAGACAGCATTTCTGCCCCCTATGGTACTGAGATTCTAAATGGGAGACTGGATCAGCAAGTTAGTATATGATGAAATGTTGAGTTGTAATAAATGGTATTAAGCAGGGGTGGGGGGGGATGAAGCAGGAGGAGAGATAGAAAGTGACAGGGAGGAAAGCAGTATTTTGGAAGAAGTAAGTCACTCAGAGATCTCTGGGAAGAAACCTGGGGAGAAAGGTGCAGCACCTGCCAAAGCTCTGAGACTGCATTGGGCCTGATAAGTCCAAGGATGAACAGGGTAGTCTGGCAGAGATGAAGAAATGAGTTGGCATATGAGCACAGAAATCAGGCAGGTCTCAACCCTAGTAAGGAATTTGAGTTTTGTGAGAGGGGAAAGAAATATTTGCAAATCATGTATTCGATAAGGAACACAGAGGTAGAAAATATAAAGAACTCTTATAACTTGAAAATAAAACACAAGCCAGGCATGGTGGCTCATCCCTGCAGTCCTAGCTACGCACACACACAGAGTTCCTGTTCCTGAAGGAAACAAAGGTGGTAGTCTTTTCCTTCCACTGTTGGGTGGGGGGAGGAGGAGGGAAGAGGAGGAGGAAAAAGAGGAGGAAAAAGGCTCACAGGAGAAAACCTCCACCAGAGAGAAGTCAGCTGTGTAGGCTCCAGTACCCTGTATGCCACATGTAACTTGCCCATTAAAGATTGGGTCACTTGAGCTCTTGGGGTAAGGGATGGAGAGGATGAATCTGCATTAGGGACATGGGGCCAAGGCAGGGGGCTGTAAGGAGGCCCCATTGCTTGGGTGTGGGTTGGAGACAGTGAAAGGCTCAGCAGTAGCAGATGTGCGCCAGTACTGTGCTCTGTGCTGAGGGGAGACGTCATGGCAGCCTCACCGTCTTTAGGAAGGGGCACCCAGAGAAGGGAGAGGACTGATGATAGGGAATGTTGAAAATGAAGCTAAAGTTACTGGAGAGAGACAAGCCCAGTGAGGCGCCAGGAGTCATCGGATTGCCAACAGGAGGGCAGAGAGAGGTGGGGGGTGGGGGAGAAGGAGAGGGAGAAGGAAAGAGAGGGAGGGAGGAGAGGGGAGAAGGAGGAAGGGCAGGTGAGCAACTGAATGCCCTGGGAAGAAGAAATAGAGACCCTGGGGTGAGTAGAACAATGCTAATCCCATGAGACATTTTTGGTACTTTAGATTATAGGACATGTTCCATACCAGTTGTTCAGATGAGATAACAAAGATCTGGGAGCTACCCTCTGGGAAGGGGAGAGCTGAAACTTGACCAGCTTCATTGCTCTTCCTCCTCTTCCTCATCCACCTGCACATTCATTGACTGGCCGTTGTCTGCGGGTTTGTGGAGCAGGCAGTTGAGGGAGAGCTCATTCAGTGTCATTGAGATCATCACTCGGTCCTAGGTAGGAGGACTCTTTTGCACTCCCAGGGCCCATTTAACTAAGAATTTCCCCAATATTCTGATTCCAAATCTTCCCCCTTGGACTAGGACACAATTTCCCTGAATCAGATTGTATCTGAGAGTTCCATGCCCCAGGCCACTAACTGAGGGGGTAATAGAAACAAGTACCACTGCATAAGATTGGGTGACAACCCCGGCTTGCAGGTATTCTAGAGACTGAAAAATGAACTTAGAACGTAATTCCAATTCCAGTCTAGACAAGCAAACAACAACATCATAAGACACCCCCACACACGCTTTTTTTTTAAGTGTTTTGTTTTGGTTTGGTTTTTGGATGTTGTTTTTTTGTTTGTTTGTTTGTTGATGCTGGTATTGGAGCTTCAACTCAGGACCTAGACACTGTTTCTTAGCTTTTGTGCTCAAATATAATGCTCTACCACTTGAGCCACTACTCCACTTCCATCTTTTTGGTGTTTACTTGGAGTTGAGAGTGTCATAGACTTTCCTGCCTGGTCTGGGCTGGCATGGAACTGTGATTCTCAGATCTCACCCTCTTGAGGAGCTAAGATTACCGCCTCCTGGCTTGACCACTCTCCTTTTTTACCCCACTGAGCCGAGGTTTCAATCCTGGTGTGTGTGACACTCCCCTCTCCCCACCCCTTGTTGCGTTTCTACAAAGATCTTGATGAGCTCAAGCTGGTGCTTAAGGAGGCCACACTTATGGCAGGGCTGAGCCTGGGCTATGTTGTCATATTTCAGTTTTCTGTTTTGGTACAGCAAAGACTTTGAAGAGATAAACAGAGATCACTTTACACCTTTTATATTATGACAAATACATATTGCAAAACACTGCTGCTTCCAAAATGTTTAGGCTACAGAACAGCGAGGAATTAACAGCTAGGCAGCTCTCGAGATGCTGTGGTTCATTTACACATCAGAAATTTTGTGGGTTTTTTTTTTTACACTGTTGAGTAAAGTAAGAGTGAGAAAACACACATGCACACGTGTGCATATTCAAGGCACACCCAGGGTGCTGCCTAAGTTTGAATAGCAGGGAAAGTCTTACATTAATAAGTAGTTCTTTTAAGTCCAGATAAACTGATAAATACCATTAATGGCTTAATTTATACTCTGGGTTTGAAATTTGACACACAGACACTATCTTGGCTCAGGAAAACACCAGTGGTTTTGTGCCAGAGGTTTTAATGACCGATCGGTAATATAAATTGCTGCATCACTGGACAGAAATAGCTCCTCCATGTCATTTGATCTGGAAACTTCTCCGGCCAGGCAGCAGTTAATAAATTTAAAAATAATTACCGTCTTTATTCAAAGTCAAACTAATTAGGAATGAGTTTTACAAATCATAATGTTGTTCAGGCCACTGTACATTCCCATTTGGAACTCACACAGGCCTGGGGCAACAGACAGAGGAAAATGGTGTTAATTAGAGGGCAGAAGAGTGGTGCTGGGCTCAATAGGAGAGTGCTGGGAGCATCTTCAACATGTCTTGAGGGAGAAGACAGGTGTCAGCCATGAGGGTGACCTGTAGGAACTTCACCCCTTTAAGTCTAGATGTAGAGAACTGATGAGCAGCCACAAAGGAGGTTTGAGATCAGTCAGGGATGGTCTGTGTCATCCAGGCCAAACAGAGACAAGAGCAGGTTGACAGGTGGATGTGAGTGGACATGGAATGACTGCTTGGGAGGTAGGGGGAAGGATGTGCCTGGAAGCAGAGGGAGATACAGGATGATCCCTGGAAGGCTTTGCTTTCTAGGCAGAGTATGAACTCTAATGGAGTAGCTCAGGCTTATGTAGTGAAGACTATAGGAAAGAGAGACCCCCCCATGGAGCTTGAAGTCTCTGAATGTAATTCAGGATATCAATGCCTGATATCCCAGAATTTGGGATCTAATATCACAAATTCCAGCTCGGACACTTACAAGTTTGATGACCTTGGACAGATTGCTTAACTTCTCCAGGCCTCCCTCTAACATCAGGGCAGTCATGGTGCCTTGACATTGTATGTGGAGTATTATAAGGATGAAACCTAACAGTCTAGGTGAAACGCTTGTCATAGACCTTGAGTGTACCCTCAGGAGAAGGTGGTGGTGATTACTGTCCTTGAGTCTTTACCGCTCACTGGGTGGATGAGAGAGGAAGGGCTGAGTCTAGTTGATGGTGGTGTAGACACGGCAACTGCATCCAGCTTTCCCAAGGCAGAGATGGGCTCTTCCAGGACCCCTTCTTACATCCTTGGGTCAAAAGGACATTTCCAGTATGTCCAGTGTGGCCCCTTCAGTGCAGCATAGAGAAGTCAGGGAAAATGAGGTTTCACATTTGGCGGG